CACACACACGTTTTGTTTTATTTATATAGGTTATTATAGTTTGTGGTAGTTTATGATTAGTTTGTAGTACTTTGTGGTACCTTAAAGTAATTAGTTGGGCTTTGTCAGCATACTTTCAGATGTATTTGCATTGATTTGTTTAAAAATGTATTAGTTGATCTTGCACACAAAGGTAATCTTAGATCATTATAATTTAGTCATAGTTGTCTCTTTTTACACACTGTAGGCTTGAACTGGATTTTAAAGGATATTTTTGTCTTCTAAAAAATTTCTGTTTATAACAATTTAGTCAATACGTCAGTTATAGAATTAGTTTTAATAGAGTATGGTTGTATATTATAATTAATTTGTATTGTAGAAGTAGGGATTAATGTGTTACATATATTTTCTTACTTGCAGAAATATGTAAGAAATGAATTCTTCTTAGGTTTCAGGGTATATTTGTGGTTATTGGTTGGTGGTTCTATATCCAAGATGTAGGATTACAGTAAAAGAAGCTGGCTCAATTTTTTTTTCTTTTTTTTTAGTAACTAATTAATATAATCTAGAAACAAATTTTCTTATTGTTGGTTCATGATTGAACTTTATACCCTTATAACTTCCCTTTTAGTATTTGTTGATTTTTATGTTAGTGTCATGTATTTATAGTTTTTTTTTTCTTCTAAGTGTAATGGAATGAGAGTAGAAACGAAATTGTGGCACTAGAAACATTAATAATTTGTTAACTTGTTTGTACCAGTAACTATAATTAACATTGAGAAAACTCAAATTTACATCTTAATACTTCTTTTACTAGATTTAAAGTTTCATGGTTGGCACTTCTAGGAGTGTAGGAATTGATGGCATTTAGGTTTCTGTGCCAAGGTTTTCATTAAATTGAAAGAGAAGCTGCTCTGTTGACACAAATTTAGATTTTCTACTTTTCCACAAATACTGTCTGTTTATTGAGTCAGAACTTGAAAATTTTTAGTCTGTTTTGAGTTTCTCAAGATGTGAAATACGAAGTCAAAGTGCAAATCATAAACATATCTTTGTTGATAGAGCACGTGAACCATTCTAATTGATTTGAATTGACATTCAGAGGTTTTTATAATTATAATAGTCAGAAATGTAGCTTGAATTTATCAAGATATGTGGAAAGGAAGTCTTAACTGCAAATCCTAACTATATTTTTCTTGGCAGAGCAACTGAATCATTGTTTAATCTGATTGTTGTTAACATTCACTGGTTTTTATGATGTAGGAATGTTAGTATTGTAACTTGAATGAGGAAGGAATTGACAAAGTTAACAATAAAATCTTGCTTGTTTTTCTTGTGCCATGGATTACAATATACATGTCACTAGAGCATCATAAACCAGATTAAACTAGTTCAATATTAAGGGCATAATGTAATGTTTAGAAATTTTCAAAGTTTTGAAGAGAATAAGTGCAGTATTAACAGTTAATGAAATTGGTAAACTCGAACTATTTTTCGTGGTAGAAGTGCTATTAAAACCCATTGTTGAATATGTTTGTAATTTATTAATTTGCCTACTGAATTAATGTTTTTTTTTTCCTTTTTTTTTTTACAAGCTTCTCCAGCAGTAACTGTTCCTGCTTCTGCAAACATTACCTCAGGTCTGTATGAAATTATTTCAATTGCAAATATCTTTAAAACTTCGTGATGAGCATATTCAAAGTTTTGATCTGTTTGGCTGAAACAAGAATGACAATGTTACAATTGTATGATATTGTTGATAAAAGTATAGTAACCTGGAAAGAATAAATGTATTGAAATAGTATGATATTGTTGATAAAAGTGTCACAGTGACCTGGAAAGAATATATATCTATAAATTGCTAACAAAGTTAATTGCATATTAAAAATAAATTACTATTATTTTTATTTATATCAAACAAATAGATAAATAGATGGGAGGAGAAATCCATCTGTCATTGAAAACAAGTAATTAATTTGTAGCCCTACTTTCTTGAAAAGTAAATGCTTAACTGAATATTTAAATTCATGACATTCAAGTTTAAAGTTTACTTGTGAAACCAAAAAAAACCATTCCATTTCCAAAGTTATTCATTATTTGAGCCTCCCAAGACTTTTCAACTGTTTAAAATGCACAAGGAATACCAAAAAAGCATCTTGGAAAGTCGAGTGAAATATAACTGAATTGGATAAACTGTAACCCATGAAAATCTTCTACATTTGCCAAATAAATTGATTTCAAAATGGGTATATACATTTACCAATCTATTATTGGTGTAGATACCAGTTGCAAATAAAGTTGACAAAAAATAGTCTCAAAATTCCTTTTTAACACCTGCCTTAGGAGCCATCCCAGCAGCTTTTAGTACTGAGTTTAAGATGGTCAACAGGGAGTCATTCCAGAAACAGTGATTTAGGGTTATTTCAATAGATCTCAATAAATGAAGCTTGGCACAACATCTAAAATGGGAAAAAAAGACTCAATATTTATGAAAATATGACATTAGAAATATATATATGCATTATACTATGGTGGTGTATACTGGTCATTATACCATCCTTCTAATATTTATCTTAATTGCAGAAATGGTATTTTTAAGTTGAGAATTGTTAGGGAAATCATCTTTTAATCCTACAAGCACAATGCACTTTTTAAACTCCTTTCTTCACACTACTGAGTTACATTCAAAATTTAATTAAACAACTGTACTATCTTATGATTCAAAGTTGTATGGTATCTAAGTTTTAATTCCTTTGTTTCAAAAGAAACCTTTAAAAAAATACTTAAACTTCAGTTTTGTGTTGTCACGTGACTCAAGCTATGTAAAATCTCAACTTTTGCATTTTCTATCTTGAATCAGATAACCTCAGTCCTGTAGATATATGTCTAGACAATAAGTATGTTTACTTGCCCTGTTGACATGTAAGTTTCAAAGTTCTTTTGCTGAATTCAGTAGAAACAAGTGATAAATTTTTCCAACCCTTGACATGTGCCACACCCATCTGCTATACTTAGCCTTGAGATTTACTAGCCTCTGTATGTACTTGGTACACGTGTTTATAATCATTAGAAAGAGCTCATTTTACTCTATAATCTACCAATGGTTATTTTGAAATTGGCACACAGTTGTTTTCATCAGGTAAATGTAACTGCCTGTAGTATTGTTGGCTGCTTGATACACTGTAGTGGATCAGTTAGAGAGACAGTTAAATTTATTTAAGTCTTTCTTTTATATTTTAGTTAATGTATTATTTGTATTTTAAAAATTCATATTTGAAAGGTTTAATGATTTTTTAATATTATTCTAAGCTTGACCTCACTCAAGTTTTTCCTAACTAGATGAGTGCAAAATATTTTGCCTGAGGCTAACTCGTCTCTGCTGATGATAACATATTATTACCTGGGCACCTATTGACATGTGTCGACATAACTAACGAAAGATACAAAAAACATTAAAAATAAACTAAACATCAATAGGTAAAAATGTGAAATTACAAGTATGATCCAAAGAAGATATTTAAGATTATTCAGCAAAGAGATAAAAGGTATGTATTTTAATTTCTTAATTTTAAACATTTTATTGCATTGTACATTGATGATAATAGCTAGAATTAGCAGTATGGTAGAGCAAATGAAAAATATAAACATTTAGTTTAGAAAACTTTGTTTATTTAGAAGCTCTAGAAACTATGCAAACGAAATGTGAAAACTTTAAGATTAACAAATAATATTTTTATACAAAACATGAAAATCACCTTGCAGGTGAACTATTCAGAGTCCAAGTGCAAATATCTACATTAAATAACGAATTTTTGTTGAAATAGTAGAAAAATTCAAAGTCAAATACTTTTTCTGGAACTACGTACTTTTTGGAAAGTTCTTTTGAAACTTCAAACAATTTCATACACTAGTTTCATTTTTGGAAGTAAATTTTATGAGAGTTACACAACCTAATTACCATAGATGTAATAGGATTAATGCTTCATGCAACTGTTTCAACTTCAGCTCTGCATTCTTGAGCTTTACTGTGCCTGTTAGTTTCAGCTGGTATGTCAAATTGATTGGGATATCTTTGAATAAGGTCTTCCCTCATCCAACATGGACAAATGGTTTAGCTTGATCGCTACATTAAAACAACCACATCTAGAACATTTCAAGCATGTTTCATTTTTACATTGCTTTACTTTACATTCACATGTCAACTTTTCTATGTTTGCTCTTATGGTCATGGGTCTGGTCCAGTGACTTAAACTTTTTGCATGTTATTAGTCTATATTCTTTAGTGCATCATATAATTAAATAAAAATTATTAAGCGCATTACTAACTATATTATAAACAATTTGGGTTAACTCTCTTTGAAACCCAACAACAAGAAAGAAGAAGATTAGGTAAGTACTTTATTTCTTGTTTTTCGTACTTATTTTTTACAATAATAAATAAAGAATAACTAAAATCTAATAACATGTATCTTCTAAAGTTATTTAAGACTAGATGAGGTAAAATAAGTAATAATAATAATATAATTAAAATGGTTCATGAGGCACGCACACAAGCAGCTTGTGGGTAATGTAATTTGATAGCGTAACATGAGCTGCATGTTCCCAGAGTGATTTACAACTTATAATGGTGCGTACAGTAGTTGGACACAGTTCAAAGGGCAATAAAAAAGGGGGCAATAAAACAAAATTTAATTATATATATATATATAGATGTATACTGTTATGAACTTAGAGCATCTTAC